CTGCTGAACAGATATAGAGCTGAGTGGCCACATGGTGCTCTGATAATCTGCCAAAATGCTTATAAGTTGCTGCAATTCAGTCATAAATCATGTCCTGTTTTAGGTAGAGTCAACAAAAAAAGACTTCATCTTTCTATGTAGCTGTAATGAAGCAAAGGACATATCAACTTTTTGGAAAAGTGGTACATGACATGTAACACAATCTTCACAATTACATCGCCCCAGTGAAGTATACGCTGTAATCCTCATACATCTGACCTTCAGCTATTCTTCTCTTCTGTACGAGCTTTGTCCTCTCCATTGTACAGATCCTCATAATGTATGTGCCGACTAAGCTGGCCTTGCTTGTTCCACCCATTATGAACAAGTGTGGAACGAGTTCAAGAAGGCAAACAAAAAGCATATCTCTACAAAGCAGGCAAAAAAAAGGACAAGTACAACACCTGGATGTGACAATTAAATGAATGCCAGGAATTTATTCTGTGCTGATTTTAAGATTTTTCATTTAAGCATCAACCGTATGACAGCTGGAGGGCCTACGGGCAGCACCAGGGCACAGCACATTTGTATTGACGCACCAAAGCTACAAATAGCTGTACACGCATCACTGCAATTGATGTTTGTTCTTTGTTAGGATTCCACACCTCTTGTAAATCCAACTTGCTTGGACTAACAGTAACATGTTGGTTTAAAACGATTCATTAAAGCTGCATTGCCTTGATGTTAAAAGCTTTGCAGAAGCAGAAATGCAAGGTGGGATTCTGGATGTGAAGCGTATATTCCATCAACAATGTGCAATTTGAGTGGAGCATGGGGTGAAGAGAAGGAGAAATGAGCACTGCTGTGCCGTCATATTTGCAATTAGTAAGGGGGGTGGGTTCGTTTTTGATTAAATCTCGGCTCTTATACTTCACTCAAGAGAACTTAATCACTTTTTACGTGGGCGTGCTTGATTGTCTGATTATTATACCACAATTTGGCCGAGCTCCCTCCCAATCAACTCCTCTGAGCGCCCCCTTCTCCGCGATTGATTTGTAACAGTCACAGTAAACCCTGATGATGGAGCGCCCGCGTAATGACCGTACATCAAGAGACAGTGATGAGGTGAGGGGCGTACTGGAGACGAGCCTTTGATGAACATCACGGAGACCCGCCCTAATAGTTGTCCTCTATTTCGACATCTGCGGGGAGACACAGAATGAATAGTCGTCTTCCCAGCAGGATGCAAGCGTCTTGATGTACAGTAATGAGATTATTAGAGACCCGGAAGCAAGTCTGACACTCTTTTAATGGCTCTGCCTGTAACTGCGATGTTTGAACGAGACAGAAATGAAACCATCAAGTTTTTGGCCTTGTGCTGGGTGAAAGAATATGGCTTTAGTCTCAAGTGTCTAAATAGTGCAAATATATTAAAAGGTTCCAGCCAGAAGACACGGGAATGCACTCAGGATGTTATGCATGCCTGCACACACAGCAGACATACGCTTCAAGTGTTATTTCCTGCAAATCAATGGGAGTTGAACCGTATTACACTGGGTTAGCTTCATTCTCTACCATGTTTTGATTGGTCAACGTGTGACCGGATCAAGGACACAGCACTACAGATACATATAAATATTCCAGACCAGAAAACGATGAGCCTTTGCAAACAAACACTGACAATCCAAATGACCTCAGATGAGAAAAGTCCATGAACATCTCTTTGCTACACATGTGCACACATAACGAGGAGAATGAACTGAATGTACAACATGTGATTTAGAGCTAATTTAATGTGTAAAGATGCATTACTAAATATTATATTAACAATAGATTAAATTAATATAATCTGATATATTAAGTTTGGTACCCAACTTGTTAGTGTCTTTCAGCATATTGTTTTGGTTAGGTGTTCAATTGGCACAAAGACAACATATTGAAGGCTGCTTTCATTCATTTATCAAACAGAGATTTCTGTTTGCAGTTTCCTAAAACAAAGAATTCCCATTATTAGTAAGTGCATTTGTGTTTATAACTAACAACACAAGCAATCTATAGAACATCATTTTGAGCTCAAGAAAACTGCTTCAGGTTTTATTTTTTATATTTTCAAAAAAGTGTTTCTTATACAACATTAAAAACCGTTATGAAAAGAGGAATCCATAATGAAAAACCTTTAGTTGGAGCCCTACCACATTAATACATGCACTCCCACACTCATATATGAATGCCTCAGTGTCAGAATAAACCCTCAGAGGTTGATAAGTATTATCTCTGACATTTCCACAATGTTTTTCTATCCAACAATGCAGAGTTGTAATGTGACATCAGCTGTGAAATGCTCCTTGTTATTTCATATAACACTTCAGTGGTTTAGCATTGAAAACATCCAAATGTGCATACACTTGTTTACTGCGTCGCAAAACACTTTTTCATGTAAAGATCTTGCTTTTTTTTTTTTTTTCGTCTGTTGGTATTAATGTGCGTGCAAGAAGACAGATGTTTGAATAAAACATATAAGCACCTTTCTTAGAGATTGCTACTATGCTCTACAAATGAACGTAGGATACAAGGAGGGGTATTCCTCCTGGACTGGGCTGAAGCACCCATTCTGTCAAATCAGAAGAACGTGTTTACTGTAACATGTTATCATCGCACACGCCACACACGTTGGACTACTTTTACAACATCTGCACCACGTTCTCCATTTAAGGTACAGAAGCCAACTCACTGCAATATATATTCATTCAGGGTTTGGGGGATTTTCAAGGTGTGTAACCTGCCGAGCGACTTCAAAGCACCACGCTGAGATGATTGACAAGAAGACGTCCACATGTCCCATTGGGAGAGTTGGTTGTCTCCTGTCTCGTATCTGGACAAGCCCTGTCCCCTACCAAAGCATTTTGCGTCTCACTCATGCACAAAGCTGTCATTTCCCAAATGCATCAGCCCCCCAGAAATGTGTCACTGGGGATTATGGGATACCTCCTGGGGATTAAAGATGTTCTTGACAGGCTGGCCGCTTCACCTATTCCCAGCAGTCAGTCTTTGCTCTCCTTTGTATGAGAGTTGTAAAAAGTACATATAACACACACACGGATGCCAAGGCTGAGTCAAACATTATGATATGTCTGAGTAACGATTGACCGTGCAGATTTCTTAGCAAACATCTGCATAAATGTTGACTATATGTAGTATTTAGAAATTCCATTTCAGTCTAGAATATTCCACGCATCTTATCATGAAACGTCTGTTTTTAAAAGCTTGTATTTTTGGTCATAGCAATTATCGGCAAAGACTGCTCATTTGAGGCTCACTAATGTCCATAGTTTTGAATCAAGCAAAGGGAGGAAGAAAAAAACAAAGCACAATACGTGCAGACTGCATTAATCCTCCTCCTCCTCCTCCTCCTCCCCCTCTCCTGTCTTCGTCTAATTAAGGGTCATTCTGTCTCCTGGCCACATTAGGACAGCGCAAACCATTCCCCACCCTGATAATTAAATGGTTTTTTTGTGCTAACCATCTGGAGACCTCATCTCTTTAAACGTGCATGTCAAATTGATTCCTTAATAATGTTTATGTGTGTCTTCTCAGTGCTTATTATCATCCAGGATTAGCTGTTCAGTTTGTTTTGCTTTCATCTGCGGCACAGGCTACAGACACACACACACAAACACACACACACACAAACAGAACAACAACACCTTTAAGATAGGACTAACACACCAGCCAGCAAACCAAACACTCATGAACTTTAAAGCAGTGGACAAATTTAATTTTAAATGAGTAACCACCTATTTATGCAGTTAGTGCATCGACAAACTGACGCTTTGAACATCCTGCAAATCTTCGGTAACGTCTAATACTCTGGACACACTGCCTCGTAGATGCTGCGGGATTGTTTTTGTTTGCACTGTGGGATTTCATGGTTCATTCACGCGTCAAATAATATTAGCAACAACATGTTTCACCAATAAATAACTTTTCTTCCCAGCTTCACAAGGACGATTTTGATTAAAACCCCAGGTTTATTCAATAAACAGACATTTGAGGTAGAAAGTGATATTTACTGTTGTTGTTATTTTTCCCTTTCACACTTTTCTCCAAGCATGTCATCCCTCTTTTCTTTCATTTTCCCTTCAAATGGCAGCGTTGTTGAAATGCAGACATATGTGTAGTCAGAGGAGCGTGCTGCCTTTCTCATTCTCTTTCTCTCCGAGTGCAGTTGAGGGGATTAATCTGTGCCCGAGTGCCTAGAATAATGATCACTGCAGCGGAGAAACACATTTTAACATTTCAGGAGATAAGGGTAGGCAATCTGCAAACAGAGGACTTAACCAGCTCCATGTGGCTTATTGTGGAGCTAACAGAGAAGTCACCACCGACAACCATGCTACACCCCTATATGCACAAACAGAAGGAATACCCACAACTATCTGTTCTGGGGTAAGACACATCAGTCACTCTGACATTATATTCATACCATTTCCTAACTGTGAGGCGCCCCGGCTTATTATTCGTGTCCCCATCGCACTACTGTCCAATTTCTATCTGTGGTGGTTCATTTCCCACCAAGAGATCAAATCTGGTTGCGTTTCCCACAGACACCAAATCTGATTTTTCATTTCAAAGGTAGCGAGATGTAGAGGGCTATTCTCACTTAATCCACTCTTGCAAAGCTGGCTTCCCCCAAGTGGCACACATGCTGAGAGGCGCTCCTAATTACACAGAGAGAACGCTTTTGGACATCATGACAGGAATTCTTACCGACACGGTAATGACAGACAGAAAAAAACGAACACATATTCACAAATGAGCTCTGAATTTCAACATCAGATGATAAAAATAATGTGAACAATGCCGACGTGGCAGTCTAACTCAGTCGAACAAAGTGCTCCTGCTGTAACCCATTTCTCAATAAACAAGGGGAGGGAGTAAAACGCCAAGTAAGCTAAGTTCCCTAAGATCAAAAGATTTATTTGTGTTGTGAAGGTGCAAGTCAGTTCAATACAAACTCCTACCTTTCCGACATACTGTGCTTCTGTTCCCAGGTGTTCTTCTAAAACAAAGAACTGGTTCCAGATCCAGCCGCGCTTCGGCCTGTGATGCACCTCCGTCTCCCCGTTGGCCAGTTTGGTCCCGTTCCTGAAAGAGGGCACTTTGGCGGGGAGGTGGTGGCTCGCCCCATAGCACCTCTGGATGAAACAGAGGCAGACCAGAAAGGGACAGAGACAGGAGGGGGCGGATATCCTCATGGTGGCGCGTGCTTTTGTAAAGTTAATCCCGTGTTCCAAGGTGGTAAGGTCCTCCCACCACCACCGCCGCCACAACCAGCCACCGCTACCGTAGTCCCAGCCAAAGATAATTCTAAATCCAAATGAAGGAAATAGCCCTCCCGGTAGATCCTCTAGGGTTCATCTCCCAAAGCCGTAGGTTGAATGAGGGAAAAAAAGGAGCAAGATATATTTACATTATGGAATTTCCCAGGCTGTGAAATGCTGTGCAAACGGACGTGAACTTCTGGTAGTTCTACCGAGAGCAGAGGTTAATCCTGGAAGCCATTCTGGATATCCTGGGAGAGAAGGAGAGAGAAACACAGAGTAAGAGATTAATTTGATGGATATTAGAAGCTAAATGTCCACTAATTCCCTCCAATTAAATCGCAACTCGTAAATCCTTGCAGATGAGGACACGCACTTCAAACTGGTCGACAAAGTACAAAAAAGTATTCTAGTTTTACTATTCCAGCCGTTGTGCGGATGATACAAACAAGTTCAGACCTGAGGAGTCGCAGTTATATTGAAAGGTTGTCCATGCCTATGAGGTTATGGCGCTGTGTGGTGACTGATACCGCCTCGTGAGGTAAGAGTCATGTTTCAGAGCAGAGCCGGCCTGTGACTCAAAGGATGAGTTGGTTTATTAACAAACATCAGGAAATGTTTGATTTGGATGTTTTAACATGAACGGGGCATACTGTGGGTCTTACTGTGTGCTTGAATAATAAGCACGGCAGGAAGAAATACATTTACTATGATAAGGACGGGCATCAAGCCACTAAGACGTGAGGCGGAGGGGGGATTTTAAAAAGGCAGTGGAATGGAAAAGACAGAAGGAAACTGCTTTTCTCAATCAAAATAGTAAAGATGGCAATGAAGTATTAAAAAATAGTGATGCTCTGCTAGTCTTCTGAAAGAATGTGCATTACCCCTGCATGAGAAACTATGTGGTCTTTAAAGAAGGGGCATTATGGAGAATCATCTAGTCTTGGGCTGGGGTTTAGAGTTGGATATATTATTTAAGGAGTTGCTGAAGCATGAAATCGCTCCTCACGGCTCACTTTTGAATCGGAGGAAATTGCAAAGTTTGACCTTGCTGTTCTGCCCTTTGGTGTGATGTCACAACTATAGCTGTAGCAATGATTTCAGAGTCTAATTTAGGTTTCTGAACAGTGAGCTGTGAGGCCTTTCTTAGACAGAGTACGTAAAGTTCAAGCTTGCACTAAGGATGCTAACATTGCTAACGCGACAAAAGCATTGTTGCTGACATCACCAGCTCCACCAGGCTTTGGGGATTAAACTGATGCACAGAAATACACCTGCTGTGTAAACATTCTGAAATATGTTCAGCTCAAAGGTTGAAATAACCAGATTCATGGAGCTCAACACTGCATAGTCAACATATATTAGTAGGCTACTGCAAATGTGTTTGATATACAACTCAAATCTGAAAAACAATACCTAATTTCGCTTTTTGATGCAGAATAAAGTGTGTTGAAGTTTTCTGCGGAGGCTGGTGTGCAATTCTTTCATGTTTGGTTCCTTAGCGTGAGCTATTGAGTACAGGTTGAGTGAAGTCACAATGAATTTGACGTTTGACTACCAAAATCAAACAGATCATCTTTTTAAAAAACTGTGTCACCAAAATGCTTCCTTACAAAGTTGTCAAAAAGGAATTAGACTTTTGAAAGCCAACTATAAACAAGAGAAACATGAGCTAAAAGAAGTTTGGGCATATTCTAAAACTGATCATTATAATAAAGTGACTTAAAGCTGTAGCGTTCAACATTCAAAGTGCTGCAGCTGAATAGCAGCTTTGTGGGGATTATGGAGAGGACAAACATATATTTGATATTTAATAGGATATAGGAGTTGACAGACTTCAAAGGGCTCTGCTCTCTATCTCACACAATGCCTGTGACAACCTTAGAGAGAAACGCTAAAACGAGGCATTAATGCAACTTAAGACTGCCACATACTTTGAAGGATAATCACAGAATATTCATTCATATAAATATAAATATTTTTACATATATATGGATTAGGATTTTCTTAGTACCACCGACTAATCCCCATGTTTGAAATATCTCTACATGCAAATTATGCAGCTCATCTATAGTTGCTGGTGATTTTGACTAAGTGCCACGGTAGTAAGTGATAATGCCAGCCCAGACAGGGGAAGGGAAGGCAAAGTCTGTTCCACATCGACTTAGATTACAGCAAAGAGGGATAAATACTCTGCCGCACACGATACACGTGTAATCTGGGGAAAGATTTCCATCTGCATATACAGTAGAGCTACGCCCAAATTCTGTTTCCAATTCCTGGGGAAACGATTTCAAGTGCTGCAAAGAATACTTTTAAATAATTGTTCTAGAGATTTTAAGGTTTTTCCTCTTGTTTCAATATATGTTGATAACTTCACAGTTCAGCCACACAAGTAGTGAAGTGGCTGAGTCAGTAAGACAACAAAAATATAGTTTATGTTGGTTCCACTTTCACCTCTCTTCAATCAGTATTTTAATTGAGCTATTATCATGCAGATTCTCAGCAAAAAAACATTTAATGGAGTCATAAAATCAACAGTATCCGCCTCACTCAATGGAAATAATTTCCTTCCCTTGTTTATGATGATGATATTGTTTAATGCGACCTTCTGCCCAAGGCGTGGTTATGTGTGTGGAGCGTTTAACAGGATGGGTTATGCACAGCAGCAGCCACAAAGATTTTGGCAGGCTGCATACAAAAGTGGCTACATTTGCACGCACATGCAATTCTGTTTTGATCTGGTGTTGTAAATGTGCCACATCGTTGCACCGGATGACATGCTATGACATTACCACAGGGATCTGTCGTTTACTTCCCCTTGTACACCGTTCTGCTGCTGGAACGCTCATTAGAGCACCAAATGTGTATTATAACGATGCTTAAAACAACAACAAATGGACTGTTTACTGCTGTTTGATCCATGTTAGCTTCTAAACTACAGGGCCCAGTTGTTTTCAAAGATGTTCATTTTAAAAAAGTTTCAATGGGCTTGGAAATGAAAGTCACATACGGGTAGGGAATTCAGAAATGATGAGAGGGGGTCTGACTTGTCTGTGTTTTAAAAGCATTATTATTATTATTTTATATTAACCCATTCACTGAATTACCTTAGCTTTACGTCGGTCAAAGCAAGCAACTCAAAGATTAACCGTCTTGTGGGACCTTCTGATTCCTTAAAGTGGCCTATTATGAACATTTGATTGTCCATATTTGTATTGTGTGCCTCCACAGTAACGGCCCGTCCACACAGCGGCGTGCGTTGAAAGCTTCACCATTCACTTTGAATGGGGTGACGTCACTTTTCGCCGAACTGCATTGTGGGAAGCGACGCGGAGCGTTGCTGGCGTGGCTCGCTGAAAAAGTTGAGCAATGTTCAACTTTTGTAGACGGGCCGTGACATGTGTCCATGCTTTAAAGTTAATGTAAAGGATATCTCTTTGCGCCTCTGATACTTTATTTTACATTTTGCTGGTGGACTGTTCAACCTTTGGCAAGGAAAACAAAGGCAGACACAAAACGGACTCTGTCTCCTTAGTAATTCATGGGATTAGGACAACTCAATAACATCCAATCAACTGGTCATCTAAACAATCTAAATGGAATATCCAATAGCCCACTGATGACAGAGCAGGGGGTGACATGCTTAAAAGAAAGATAATGCAAAATGAAGACAACAATCGAAACAGAGCTGCTGAGAGACATACACCTCGATTCAGAGTGTCAGAGAGGGGCTCCTGTCCCCTGCCGCTAATAGCTAATGTTTCGGGCTCCTGCTAAGAGCTCACCCTCTGCTTTCGATTTCACAGCATCAGCTCTCTGTCGGTGTCAAACAGCAGATAGCAGAAGACTGGGGCGGGTCAAAACACATATCATTGAACCACTGCTCTGTCCTCAGAACAAAGAGGGACAGTCACAGAGACTCTTGACTCTTCCCCTCACCTGGAAATAAAGCAAATACAAACAATTTGCAGCCGTTAATAAGACCTGTTGGTAATAAAATAAGAGGGTAAAATAAGATAATTTGTGACACAGAAATCTGACTGTTAAATGTTCCTGATGCCTGAACATGAATTTATTTGTACGTGTTTGTTGTTACAGAAGCAGCTTTCAATGAACCTGCTGGAAATAGAATGCAAGCCTAAAAATACCCTCTGCACAGATATATGCAATATGAGCTGTAGCACCTCATCTAAAGCCACTAATACCCTTTGTATTGCTTACGGCATATAGCTTTGCTGTGCTGGGAAAATGTTTCGTCTGCGCTGGAATAGAAGGCCGCTGTGTCAATAATAGCGGTTGGGTAGCCTAATACAATAATAAATACAGTGAGACAATATGCTGAGATCAAATATTGGTGGTTTATTTGTATTATTACCTTTGTTATTGCAGAAGATTTTACAAATGAATGAGCAAGTGTACCTTATGGAATTTGATTTATACGTGTTTTTGCTTCGATGTGATAAATAACCTGACATTTCCAAGTGTGTTTCAGGATAAGTAGAAAAAAATAATAATACACATTTTGACTATCAAAAGAAGGATTTCATCTAAATGAGGAAATCATGTGAGGAAATACTTTGAGTTTTGCTAGTTTATCTGTAGAGGCTTGTGTTTTATAACACAGTATTACTAACAAGGGAATCACTTTAGCACATAGAAACGTTCTGCTGTTTAATTCACGAAACAACATTTGGTTTGTTTCTATGCGACGTCTTGTTGCCTTTCTCTCAGTGTCAGTTCATTCTTACTTACGTACCTGAAGATGTTTCATTTCATACAAATCCAACACTTTTTTACACATCATTTCTATTGACATTAAGAGAGTATGCAGTGTTTCTTTCAATTCCTTTATGCTTGGATTTCCATTATATATCAGCACCACATAAAACAACTCCCATCTTGGTTTGGCTCTTTGAAGAATCAAAAAGTATTACACAATTATACAGTCCATTAGACATAAAAGCAGCTATACCTGTCATATACTCTTCAAGTGTTGAACTGTGAATAGCAGGCATCACAGAATGTACTTTTCAGCTACTGTAAATGCTGTATAAAATAACGTGTTTTTAAGAGTTAATGCCACGTGATAATAGCCCTGTTTGACTAAATTACAAAAATGCATTTCGTTGATCACTACCTAAAAAAAACACGCTTTGTGCCCTGGGTGATGTGACCCAGCTCATTGTTTGTGAAAGGAAGCAGATTAGTGTGATAGCCAGCTTCACAGGCGGGACAATCCTCTGAATGT